CCGGTGGTAATAAAAGAGTGCTCCATGCGTAATAACAGAGCTAAAATTTATACTAATAATAATATACATTTTATTGCGCATTGGTAGGTAGTTAAAAAGTTGTTCTGTGAGCAACAAAATATATATAAGTTTTATTATTTTATTTATTATATTTATTATTATTTATATTATGTGTTTTTAATTTTTGATGTTACCGTTTTACTTATATTTTCTTGATATTTTTTTAAATCTTCTTAAATTTCAAATTTTTTAAAGTATTTTTTCTTTATATAAACAATCTTTTTATGGTTATTTTTTTCTTATGCTTTTTGCTAGCATAGAATTGTACTGAAATGGACTATAAAAAAGAATGTATAAACATAAAAATGTTTTAAAATAATTGTCGGACTTTGTTCATTTCATAAGGTGTGACGTCATTTGTTTACATTTGGATAGGCATCGAGCAGATATGAATGTACGTGAGAGATTCATGGAAGATTGTAGTTTAAAAACAGTAAAATCGACCTCTGTGGACCAATCGGTTAAGGTACGTCAGTCTATATGACGGTTCCGTATACGATACAGGTTCGATTCCTGTCGGACGACGCATCTTTTCTATGACAATTTCTCGGGCATTCAGGCCGGTAAATGTTGTTAATACTGTTTATTACAAACAGAGCATTTACTTAAATATTTGCATCTTTAAAAAAGAATATATAAACATAAAAATGTCTTAATATATATATATATATATATATATATATATATATACATTGGTTAGGTTACTACTCTGTCTTGGTCTATTTGCTATAGACATTGAGCACTTTGGGTTATAACCTTGGTAGGTGTATCTTTTTCTTTTCTGTTAATGTCTCCTTTCCTTTCATTTTTTACACCATCCAATGAAATAGATATCAACGACTGAACAAACTTAATAATAGCGTAAAACGTACTTACCTATTGAGGTGAACAGAATGTCTTCTGTGTTCTGAAAGAAAAGAATGTTTGTAAAATATTGCGTTCCATAAAAAAGTAAAAAAAAAATATTAGATTTATAAGGTTGAAGAATCGTCATGAAATAAAGAAAAGGTAAAAGAAAGCGTGACTGGAATAAGTGTGCGATGTCCCAAATTGCATATTTTTTAGCCTAAGGTTTTATTTTACTAGGCAGGTTCATCTGAGACTAAATATTTGTTCGACACACTCGAATACTGACTAAATTACAAAATGTATGGAAATTAAAAAAAAATCATGAAAGAATGGCTCGGAAAAATTATGAGGATTTTGGAAACCAGACAGAAACACGAACAAAATGTTAATTCATGAATACTACCATTTGCGAAATATGCAGGACCTTTCCTAAAATGGACAACAAAGACTTGACGAGTTTTGCCGCAAACAGCGAAGTAATCAAAGCATATAAAATCCTTTATACTGTAGGGTTGATATGTATATGCAAAGTGTTGTGGATTCCGTGAATGGAATCCTGCACAAATCAATAAACAACGCCAGAAATTGACATCTCTCTCTCTCTCTCTCTCTCTCTCTCTCTCTCTCTCTGACAGCTGAAATTTTCAGAGAAGAAACGTTGACATGCCCAAAACGAGAAATCAAAAAATCTGAAGGTGTGACACTATTTAGGGTTGCGTGAAAAAAAAAAAAGCCGAGATTAATTTAGGTAATAAGAAGCTATCACGAAAAGACACTGAGCGATGAATAAAAGTGGTAAAAGTTTTATTTTCATTAGCGAAGAAAGTAAGATCGCGGATCTGTCGGATTTGATTTGATTTATGTTACGACGGAGCGTATAAAAGATAGTCGTCTGCCCATGGCAATAATGAAAATTCCAAATTGGTCAAGTGGCCTACAGGGCTGAATGCTAAGAGATAATATTAATTAGGTCATGCACTGACAGAGAAAAATGTCAGCTGGACCACCCACAAGTTACAAAGAAGGAAAGATTAAACCATTAACTATCTGCGGAGATATCATTTCGGAAAAAATACCTGTTTTATGTCGAAGCTGGCTATGATAGAAAAATTATTTTATCGGAACAGATAATTGGCGACAGAGTGCGGAAAATCTCTTGACCAACCGCAATGATTATTTGACAAAAATCTCGTTGACGAACTCCAGATGAAATTCGGTTAAGATAATGATTAGGGACCATCCTACGAGTCGTGTGAGGTTTGCTCGTGGAAGAGAAAGAAAAAGAAAAAAAGGAAAGATGATAATTTTTTTTTCTTTGAGCGATAATTGCAAACACCCACGCTGCTGAGCGTTCATTGGCCAAAGGGTGGCGTGAGAGGTAGGCGAATGTAAACTATGAAGAAGGACGCCCCCTGAAGGGATTGGTGTGAGATGCCACTGTGAGAGAGAGGGGAACCTGTTGACGCCCTCTGAGGGGATTACTGTGAGATACCAATATGAGAAAGGAAGAATTTGGGAGGACGATTCTCTTTAAGTAGAAAGTAAGGACTTCAAAAAATGGAAAGTAATAAATTTTCCTATCCGAGAACAAAGAAGATCCTTATTGTGGATTTAGAATTATCAAGGAACCTCAAACCCCGACAAGCCCACCCCGGTTTTGGTCGGCGTTCATATAAGAGTCGTAGCGAGTGGACGGCAGTTGGAGTTAGTCAGAGACAGGCAAGTGGTTGAGTTGGAATTGCAGTCAGATAGAAGTTAGTTGCTGTGAGCTCTGAGAGCCGCCTCGTAGGAAGCTGACTGAGATCCACGCATTCTGACTTCAACTTCTAACCAAGAACAATTTATTTTTGAAGAACGACTTAGACTCACACCACCAAAACAAGTTTTAGGAATATCGCCTGAAGACACCAAAAAACCAGTTTCTTGAAAAACAATTAAAGATGTTAAGACTCGCCTAACAAACACAAAGTGTCACGAATCCATATTAGCGGTTTAGGAGAAAGACGCAGTCCTGTATTCAGCAACCAGATATATAAATATTTGTTATTCTTTTTTTAACACATTCGAACTTTTCGAGTTGTTACTTTATTTTCTTTTATTTGTGCGGTATTACCCTTGTTCGGACTCGACTTGCATTACGGCCCGCCGACTGATTGATTTCTTCTACCTAAGATCAAATCACAACGTGGGTAGGTTAGACTAGAAATCAAAGCAGTTACTTCGGTAACCAGACGTTGGAGGCGAGCTGGGAACGACAAGGCTGATACCGAATCTAACCAGATTCCCATCCGAATCAGCAAAGGGTTAGAGCGCCAAGATTGGTGCCGCGACCAATACCAAGTCACATTGGTCGTCGCAGGATAGTCAGAGTGTGGGGCAGAGAGGCAGACGGGGTGACGTCACAAAGGTAAAATCCTCTGATATTTCAAAAGCAAAAAAAGTAACATTTATTTAATTTCGGTGCGTGGTGGTGTAGTGGATAGCGGCTTGGAATGAGAAATTGGAGAACCGAGTTCGAATTCCAGTTAAGTTCATTACATTTACTCGCAAATACCCTTGCTCTCCCAGCAATAAGTAAATAGCAGGGCAGACTTGGCCCTATAACCTTGGTTGGCAGCAAGTCTAGAAGAAGGGAAACCACATTCAAATCTTCCCGGAGAGGGTTGGGCTTCGTCAGGTTATCTTACCGAAGAGAGACCACTGCTACTACGACTGGAGAACATGCGGTGCCCTTACGAGACTCGAAGAGAAAATTAATCCATATTAAAAATTACTTAGAACCGTTCTATCGTTAAAAATGCTGGAAAATGATCGACTTTTCTGCAACCCATAAAGTAACTATTTTTTTATGTCACGCTTTATCCTTACAAGAGTCAGCTCAAAACTGATCAAACTATTCCGTAGTACCGGCGCCTCAGTTCTTTACAGCCAAGAATCGTCTTGCTACGTCGACGGTGTTGAATATATATCTATAAAAGGCAGGATGTGTGTGTGTGTGTGTGTGTGTGTGTGTGTGTGTGTGTGTGTGTGTGTGTGTGTGTGTGTGTGTGTGTGTGTGTAACGAATGCACGGCCGCAATTTTCGACGGATTTGCACCAAAATTTACATGCACATGCTTCAAGTTAGTGGAAAGACCAAGACCGACTTTGCATTTCCCAACTCCCATCGATAGTGGAAATAATCGATTTTTTCATGCTTCTACGGCAGTTTTCATGTAGTTTGCGGTCATTTTCTACTGGCCAGAGTGAGAGCCAATAGCTGGCTGCCACGAATAGGCAGGAAGATTCTATTGGCCAGCGTGAGAGCCAACAGCTGACTGACACGAATGTTAACTAGCATGCAAAAAAAAACGATAGCTGCATTCGTCACAAGTGTGAAAATTTTTAATCTGCATGGCACTTTACACCAATTGGCTCATTCGCTTGCTTAAACTCAACATTGATTCTGATTCCACAGAACTGAGTTGGGTGCGAAAAAGTATTTGTTATTAACATTCTTTTTTCATTCGGTTTTTTTCAGTTTCGAGTGCTTTTTTAAAGCTGATCGTTTTGTGTTCATTTTGTTTAGTTCTTTTTTCGTAATAGATTTAATGTTTAGTATAGAGCTTAGAAAAAAAATTCGCAGTGTGAGATAGGCAAGAAGTAAGGCATGTAGCAACATCAGCACGGCAAAGGGCACTCCTTTAAAGGCAAGGAAGGGAAAAAATATTTTAAGTCAAATGATAGCGATTGCTGTATGAGTCGTACGATTTTTGAATCAAGCACGGGCAACGCCGGGCCATGCTGCTAGTCATTTCTATTCCTCTATGTAATCCTTTGATAAAGAAGGCGTCCCACTCCGAATGTTTCTTTCCAAGAAACGCTACTTTGTCGAACAGGCTCCGGTGTGGATTTTTCCATGAACACTAAAATCTTGAACTCTAGGATCTATAGATATCTATCGGTCATATCCTCACAATTACCATTTCCCCACTTCTTCTTATGCCCATATCCCGCACCTGAGTCAGTAACCATCTTGTGCATTGTATCGGATGAACTTTAAGAAAAACATCTTTTGGAAAATTCTGGAGTATTGAGGGAAATTGTTCTCACTTGAGTTCCAATGAAAGCTTAATAGAATGAAGAAGAAGAAGAAGAAGAAGAAGAAGAAGAAGAAGAAGAAGAAGAAAAAGAAGAAGAAGAAGAAGTAAGAGGAGAAGGTGAAGAAGAAGAGAAGAATTGTGGACAGAGCGAGACTGATAGTGAGAAAAGATAAAAGGCCTCAAACAAGAGAAGGAAGAAGAACTGTTCAGGAGGAAAGAGAAAATGAAAAGTGACAGAAACAGGCGAGTTAAATGAAAGGAAAAAGGAAGGAGAATTTGGACGAATGAAGAACGAGGAAAAGAGAAGGATCGATAGACAAGGAGAAGAGACGATAGAAAAAAGAAGAAAGAAAGAAAGAAATATGTGGTGAAATATACAGAAAAGAAAAGAGAAAATATTTGACTAAAAAAAAGAGAAGAAATAGTGAAATATGACAGCAAGAATAGATCAGAGAGAGGAGAGACTGGGCATGAAATGGAATGAACGAGAAGCGAGATAGAGAGGAAAGAAAGAAGGAAGAGGGTGCTGGGACAGAGAGGAAGGAGGAGAGGGGGCAACTGATGAGAAAGAGAGAAAGAAGAGGACATTGGTGAGAGAGAGAAAGAAAGAAATATTGGCGTGGGAGAGAAGGAAACAGACAGATATGAGAAAGAGAAGATGTGAGATTGAGATGAATAAGAGGGAGAGGAAGAAAGAAGAGATTTATATTAATGAGAAAGAGGAGAACAAGATGATGAGAGTGAAAGAAAGAGTAGGAAAAAAGAGGATGATAAGAGTGAGGGGAAGGAAAAAAGGATTTTAGAAAGAGATAGAGGAAGAGAAGGATTTTGATAAGAGAGAGGGAGAGAGGATTGGGAAGAGGCAGTGTTAGTGCGAGAGGGGTAAAATAATTAAGTATGAAAGAGAAAGATGCTAGGAAGACTAAAAACGAGAGAGAAAAATGCAAGATCTGATGAGAGAGAACAGGAGAAATATGATGAGAAAGAGAGACAAACGAAAGAGTTGTTGATGAAAGAAAGATAAGGAAGATAGTGTTATTGGGAGAGAGAGACAGAGAGAGAGATAATCTGGTGAGATAAATGAATAGGATGTTGATGAGAGAGATATAAAGAGGGCTTCGTTTTTGAAAGAGAGGGAGAGAGAGAGAGAGACGGGGGTGAGATAGGTTTGGAAGTGACAGAAAAAAGATGGTTGAATAAAAGAAAAAAGGGAACTATGAAAATGTGGACGAATAAAAAAAAGAGATAAGGTTTGAAAGAGAAGTTTCGATAGAGAAGGAAAGAAAGAACGTAGGAAAAGAAAGGAAAAAAGAAAGATGTGGTGAGATAGAAGGAAAAGAAAAGAGAAAATATTTGATAAAAAAAAAAGAAAAGAAATAGTGAAATATGATAGCAAGAATAGAAAGAAGACGACGACGACGACGAAGAAGAAGAAGAAGAAGAAGAAGAAGAAGAAGAAGAAGAAGAAGATAGAAATTATAAATGAAAGACGATGAATTCAAGAATGCAAATAGAAGAAAAATAGGAAAGAGAAGAACGATGATAATTGGAAAAGTAAGAAAGAAAGAAAAAAAAAAGAAAAAAAGAAAGAAAGAAAGAAAGAAAGATGCTAATTTAAAGAACAAAGAAAAGAAAAAAAAAAAAACGAAGAGTTTGATGTCATGTGATATCTAAGCGTAGAATAGGTGTCATCTAGACAGTTTATTGTGACTTTATAACGAACCTCAAAACAAAAAGTGAAATCCTTTGAAATTTGTATGTCGCAAGGACAATTTAAATATTGCATGTGCTAAAAACAATCTGAAAGTCATACCGACTGGCATTTTTCAAGGAAGAGAAAGGAATTTCTGTGAATTTTGAGTTTGAAGGTCGTTTGTTGTTTTGTCGAAGTTTAGTCGGGAAATGAAAATGGCGGAAAAGATGTCAACGTTTAGTTGTGATACACAACTTAGAATGAAAGCAATGATAAACAGGTTGAGGCTATGAATGAGTTCAATAATTAGTGTGTGAAATTCAAAGAATTCAATTGATTATTTCGATGAGCTTTATTATTTTGGTTTCTTTCGATTACCGTTTCGATCATTTCGCACTCAGTTTTTGCCGATATTGTTTGAAGTTCTGAGACGAAGAATTGGCCTTATCTTCATATATTACCGATATATATATATATATATATATATATATATATATATATATATATATATATTATATATATATAAATGAAATGCGTTTGTTTTCCCCTGTTTCTCTCTATTTGACAAAAGACACTCTCGGGATATGATACTACATAAGGAAACAATTGATCAACACAACGAATGAAATGTGTCAGGTTAAAAAAACAAAATTTACTTACAAAAAGAAAAGAATTTTCTTACCTGTATCTGTCTATATTTCTGAGATGAGGTATTATGTACACTATTTACATTATTCGGACTATTGTCCTCATCTTTGTCGCCATATTTATTACCCTTCAGTATCTGTCTATATTTCTGAGATGAGGTATTATGTACACTATTTACATTATTCGGACGATTGTCCTCATCTTTGTTGCCATATTTATCGCACTTCAGTATCTGTCTATATTTCTGAGATGAGGTATTATGTACACTATTTACATTATTCGGAGTATTGTCTTCATCTTTGTCGCCATATTTATCACTCTTCAGTATCTGTGTATATTTCTGAGATGAAGTATTATGTACACTATTTTCATTATTCTGACTATTGTCCTCATCTTTGTCGCCATATTTATTACAACGTTTCGTCCGTTGGACGCTCCGGCCTTCTTTGGGTTGTTGGAATATCTAACTGAACCCTTTATTTCGCTCACTGGAGTAGACTGTTATCCTCAAAGACACATGGCACAGTGGATAAAAGCGTTGGTTAGATCCAGTGACAGGACCCAAAGAGTGTGAGTTCAATAACCGGTTAGAACGTTGGAGAACTTGGAGAGGGGAATTAACGGGAGATAACTGATAACTGACATCCATTAGACATGGCACGTGGAACAAGAATAGTACCCTAGTATTCTAAATTTTGCCTCAGCCGCAAATATGACTAAAAAGACAAAAAAAAAAGAACGGATCGGTAGTTTGTTAATAAAACCATCACATCGGCAAAAGTTCTCCCGCGATGAGTGATCAGAGGACGAAAGACCCTGCACCCTTCGAAAATGATACAGATAAAGAAGCTGCTCTTGAAGTACTCTTCACGCAGTACTATATGTATGTCATTCTAAGGTCATTTGACGTGTGCTGATCTCTGGATCGTCTTCGACAACCTGTAGAATGTGTTCTTCGTACACGCGGATTTCGCTCTTCCTCGATCCATAGTTTCTGGTTCCACGGATCCTATCCCAGCAACGCGGCGATAAACAGCAGCGAATTTTGGATGACAAGGCTTCCTTCGGTCTGGAAACGTCATCTAATACAGCCATGCAGCCTTGCGTCCAATGCCATTCGCACGGCCGTATGTAAAAATCATATCGGCCTGCTCACGATATGAATATCCTACCATTGTTAAACTGACCAATTCTCAGTTATCTCACAACTATACAAACGCTGAAAACAGACTAGCCATAGATGTATACGAATGACAAATGTAACCTAGTCTCCATAGCAACAAAGCGATATATACCGTAAACTTTCTTTAAACTTCAGTCAGTTATGTGCCATGCGTGATACATGCTTAGGCGATCATTTATCTTTCGATACATGACTGATGAGGCAGATTTTTTCCCACAGTAGGTTGCCATTTCTTTCTGCGACCAGTTGTAGACCAGTTGCCATTCAAGCTATAGAACCCGATCTGTCTTGCTATTTACCCATAGCTGGGGGGAGAAGAGGATTCAAACCTTTCCCAAAGGGTATTAGTACGTAAGTGAATGTAATTGATTCGACTGGAATTCGAACTCGGCTCTCCGATTCCTTAATCCGAGCCGGTATTAATCCTCTTTAGACTTAATAACTCAAAAACGAAAGGTTTGCGGACATAAGTTTATATGAACTTTGTTCTTGTTTTGGTGTGAGGAACCCGTCCCCAAAGTTTATAAAAGTATTCTTGATACACCCTGTATATATAAAAATATATATCTATATGTATGTGTGTGTGTGTCTGTGTGTGAATGAGAGAGAGAGAGAGAGAGAGAGAGAGGGAAAGGGCCTGAAATAAAAATATACATTAAAAACTATGTATAAAAAGAAAAATGACAGCGTGAAACAGGCCGTCGGTAAATCGAAACACGTTATTTTCATGAGAACTACAAAGTTGTTTTAAAAGGATTTAAAGTAGAGCACTTTTATATACATCAGATAATGAATATACAACTCCTCCTCTTCCTCCTCTTCTTGTCCCGCTGATTCCAATGACGAGTATGGAGTCCACGGCTGTCAACAACACTAAACGTCGCAACTGTGGTTTCCATAGGATGTAACGTTTTACAGGGCGAAGTTTCTAACTCAATGTCCAACCAGATTTTTATACGATTTGCGCTTACTGTATCTGTTGTTATACTTCTCTGCTACGGGTCAGAGGGTATCATTGGCTATGATTAGCTTACACGAGTTCTGACGAGCTTGGACAAGCTATGACCAGCTATGTCTAGCTTAGAGCAGCGGCCCGAGTGAAAACACTCGTGCTCCCATAATAAAAACTTACCTTGTATCACAACCTGACCCAGTTCAAGTAAATCTCTACTATATCTGTTGTTCCCAAAATATAACATAAAATAATAATAATAATAATAATGCTACCTATAATGTCTCTGTTGTTATTGAACAACCACCAATTTGACAGAGCAGGCTTTCCACAACAGGGAGGGCTAGCCATCCGAGCAGATGGCTGTGCTCAAAAATGAAAAAAAAAACGTTGATGTAATGATTGAAAACTACACATAAAGTTCATTTTCTTCAGAAGGTCATTCATTCCTGCTGTTCACTGCTACTAACAAGCAGGATTTTTTTTTATCTCCTGATGAAGTCCATGCTAGACGAAGCTAGTCGAGAAACCTTATTTAAATAATAAAACCAAAAGAATATAATGTTTTAATATTTTTATTGTTCAAACACACGAACACACACATATATATATATATATATATTTACAACCTTATGCTCAATTCGAGATCTATCTATTTGATTATATTATATATATATATATGTGTGTGTGTGTGTGTGTGTGTGAAATGGACAAAATCCGACAATTATTTTAAGACATTTTTATGTTGATACATTCTTTTTTATAGATACAAATATCTAAGTAACTCTCTGTTTATAATAAACAGTATTAACAACATTTACCAGTTTGAATATCGGAGAACGCACATTTTCTATGAAAATTTCTTGGACATTCAGGCCGGTAAATGTTGTTAATACTGTTTATTATAACCAGAGCATTTACTTAAATATTTGTATCTATAAAAAAAAATATTTGTATCTATAATATATATATATATATTTTGGTATTATTGATGAGTTTGTGACCCTGGGATTCACGCTTTTGATCGTCAGACAAAGTTAGTCTGACGATCGCAAAATCGTGAAACCCAGGATCACAAACTCACATTAATACAACCAAATATGTTAGCTCTATCTCTGATATTGAGCGCTTTCTAATAAGTACCGCGCATATAATATATAAATAATTATATATATATATATATATATATATACACACACGCACACACACACACACACTTTACCCACACACACACACACACACATATATATATATATATATATATATATATATGTATATGGAATAAAGCTTTGATACCACAGAATAAATAAACACAATTTTATGCTCACTTTTTTTTGTAGGTGGGGACCTAGGCTACCTTTCGACCAACGCTTCCTCAGGGACCGATCGTTGGCGCAGCTGAAGTAATAAGAATTAGTCTGCAAATATGCGGGAAGATTCTTTGAGATAAGTCTGGAACACGTCTAAAAGACATTTACGATTAAAACTAATATCTAAAGAAATGCGATACCTGAGGTTTAAAATGAATTTTGAAAAAATGAAAGTCTTTTTCTTGCAGCTTTTATTTTAGTTTTAATTTCATGTTAATTTCCAATACGCAACAGACTTATTCGATATTTCGAAACTGCTTTAAATTGACATAAGGAGTTTTTTTAACCGATAAAACTCGCTGATTTTAGCCATCCATCAGCACAATGTAAATATCTTTATTAAAAGAAATTATTTGAATATAAAATATACTTTTCTAAATCTATATTTGAGGAATATTAGCAGATTTAAAGTTTAATTAATCTGATTTTAAATAAATATTATTTACTTTTAGTTTAAAATTCCTCAGAAATGCATTTTTTAACGCAGAGATAGATGTTTTCATTAGCTGTTGACAGCTCGATTAACAACATCCGGAAGTTGATGCAATTCTTTTCTACTGGGAGTCGGAGTTATATCGGTAAAAATTATTGAAGAATATAACGTGAACGCCTTTTATATAATTTTTAACGACCCAGTGATCTTAAAAATTTAGGAAAATAATCTCCGTAATCTAATGTTTTATTGAATTTTAGGTAACATTAGCTTTAACTTTACTATAGTTACCTCCCTTTTTTTCTGATAATTTCGTGCATGGCCGTTTGT